CATCTCCGCATGTACCCCCACGAGGAAGCCCTGGATCTGTTTCTTAACTTAGTGTGCAATTTGCTTCCTTCTCCCAAAAGCTTTCCTTCCCCCTCCCCATTTACAAAGAAGAAGAAAAAAAAAAAAAGACGGTGTCTCAAAGGACATGAATCCACAGACACGTGAATTATTTTAGTGGGTAAGGGTGGCACTCTTTTCAATAAAACTATTTCAAAATAACTGTAGCTTCATATGCAGTTACAAGAAATAACAGATCTCCCATGTACCTTTCAAAGCAGTATCCCCCAATGGTAACATCTTGCAAACGATAGTACAACTAATTACCGCTCACTGACTTGACACAATCAAATCCAAACACACACCACTGCCCATGCCCACAAGGATCCCTCCTGTTGCCCTTGATTAGTTATACTCCCCCCTTCCACCACTCCTCATATGCTTCACCCTACCAGCCGCTAATCCATTCACCATTCCTACAGTTCTGGCACTCCAAGAATGTTATATAAATGGAATTCCAGAGTATTCAGTAACCTTTCAGCGTTGGCTGGTTTCGTGCAATATAACTGCCTCAAGATTCATCCAAGGTGTTATCAACAGCTTGCTCCTTTCGATCGCTAAGCAGTACTCCATGGTGTGGATGTATCTTGGTTTAACCATTCACCTGCTGAAAGACATCTACATGGCTTCCAGTTCTTGGCTATCAAAAGCAAAGCTGCTATGAGCATTTGGGTATAGATTTTTATGTGAACATAAACGTTCATTTCTTTGGGATAAATGTCCAAGGATGAAATTCCTGGGTCATACGGTGGTTGCCTATTTATTTTCTAAGAACCCGCCAAAATGTTTTTCCAGAGCTGGCTGAAAGACTCAAAATAAATAAATAAATTACATTAAATAAAAACTCACTAAGTAACTTCATCAAAATTGACTCAGTTCACCTTCCCTCCACTCCTATCGGTTCACACATCTGCTCTGTGACGCTATGGTCACTGGTGAGTTCTTACTGGGAAGCCCCCAGACCTCCATATACCAGGCAGCTATTACTCACCCCTGCTAGGAATGTACACAGGTCACCCACAGGACAAATGGTTATTAAGGGCCAGTATGAGCCGTGGGGCTGGGCTGGTTACTTCCACATTGCTGACATTTGGACTGTTTTTCTGAATTACGAATGCATAGCAAGGATTATTAACCTGCAAAAAAATCTAGACGTACCACTGAGAAGCAAACCTGACCCACAACATTTTACTCTTTATAAACACACACAGCTTCAGATAAGAGGGGGGGAAAAAAGGATTCCAAAGAAAAACAGGTGGCCTGGAATATTATCCCAGTAAGACTGGGCTCGAACCACCAATGTGATGAAAATAAGAAGAGGACTGTTTGGAATGTCAAGGAAAATTACAATGGATCTCAAGTTGTCAATAGCACCAATTCTCACTAACTACCCAAGATCATAAAAATAACTTGGAGCAAAGGTACAGACTCTAATAAAAGGTTGCAATGCTCAACTTTGTAACTAAATGGTCCTAGTGTCCATACATCGCACCAGAGAAAATGGCCTTTGGACAGTAAACTCATCTTCCTGCTAAAAATTAGAGGCTACGTGGGCGCCTGGGTGGCTCAGCTGGTTGAGCGTCCTCCTCTGGATTCTGGCGGGGGTCGTGACCTCACGGTTCGTGGGACTGAGCTGCACGTCCAGCTCTGCACCAACACAGGACCCTGCTCAGGATTCTCCCTCTCTGTCCCTCTTTCGTGCGTTCTTTTTCTCTCTCAAAATAAAGAAAATTAAAAAAAAAAAAATAGTGGCTGTATTTTTCTTCGTTCCATAAACATTCAATGAGAAAAAAATTAAATTTCAACTGGACATCAGTTTCTCAAGACATGGGAGAAGTAGGTGCCTCAAGACATTTTTAACAGTAGATGTTAAAACTCATTCTGAATTTCCAATCACAATCTATAATGGGGTCATGCATAAAGGGCAACCTTGGGAAAGTTTCACAGGGATTTAATAGGACATAAAATGGCAGGAACAATTTTTTTACAACTTTTTTAAAATGTTTATTTCTTGAGAGAAAGATGGAGTGTTAGTGGGGAGAGAGGCAGAGAGAGAGGGAGACACAGAATTCAAAGCAGGCTCCAGGCTCTGAGTTGTCAGCACAAAGCGCGACGCGGGGCTCAAACTCACAAACCGCGAGATCATGACCTGAGCTGAAGTGGGATGGATGCCTAACTGACTGAGCCACTCAGGCGCCCCAGCAAGGAACAATTTTTAAAAGTCAGTAACTGATAAGGCTCCCTAACAGACACCTGTCTGTCCACCATGCTTTCACTATTATTTCGATAATGCTGCTGGCACCACAAAGAGTCAGCACTGACTTACCCTAAATAACAGCATAGAGGAAAGCTAGCTGTTTCAGACAAAACTGTCAAGTGCTGTCTCTGGAATCTGAAGGAATCTCATCCCTTCAGGGCCCCAACCTGCTTCATTGTGTGTAGATTCCTGTCAAACCACTGCCTTTATTTTGAAACTACTTCACTAAAAACAGAAATCAAATCTTCCTCACCCCAGGACTTGGCTAAGATAGAAAGCATCCAATACATATAGCCTAGAAAATCGTAATTCCCATGAAAGTTTAATCAAACAACATTCAGATTAAATGGCACCGCTTTGTGAGACGTACCTGCATTTACTATTAGATGGTAGTGTCATTTACACATCTTTCAAAACTGCACAAGTTTAATCAACTTACTGATAGGAGGGCAAGTCCAAGGAGGTATAAACCCAAGTTTCTTGGGGAAAAGAATTGTTCCTCTGAGCCATGAAAGGTGAAATCAGGAGAAACCGGGAAGGAGGGTGAGAGAGGTAAATAAGAGGGAGCTGATCCAGCCCAAAGAAAAGTTTTAAAGCCTTTTTGCAGAAGAACATTTCCAAGCCCTAAATCTTGCTGAGGTCTATAGACAGACAGGATGCTGCCTACTGCTCTCCCAAAGAGGCGAGGCTTATAGACTTACAGAAAGCTCTTTCCTCATCACAGACTCCACTGTCCCTACCTGGAGAACTGAAGCAGGGGAACGTGAAAAGAGCATCAGGAAAGTGACATCAAGGTATTAGCGGCTCTTGCCAATGGGGTTCTTTGACAAGGAGCATTTAAGAAAAGAAACAGCCTTAGAGTCCTCACTCCCAAGAATATGGACCTCAAAAAAAAAAAAAAAAAAGGCCCTCTTAAAGTATACTAGAAGGAGCTCAAGAAAGCAATTCTTGCCTACAGGCACTAGACAAGTTCAATCAGGAAAAAACAAACAAAAACTGCAATTGATTAGGCACCAGTGCTCCAGAAAGAGAGGGATTCCCAGATCTGCCCAAGCTCTAGGACGTTAGGGGAACTGACAAAGCCACACCCCGTGCTGGCAAAGCCAAGCCTGGCGGGAACTGCCAGCCTCCAATCAACTCCAAACACTAGGGCCTGCAGAGATTCCATTCACAAATCCCAGGGACCACAATCCACTAACGCAGCCCACAGAGAGCTCAGGGGCAAAGACCCCAGGGCTAGGGACAAGGCTAGTCGCGCTGGTACCCAGGGGCCTTCCGTTTCCAGCTGTTAATGAGCCTCTGGTTCCCACACTTCATTCACAGTCTGAGTGTCTGCTGTTCCCTACATCCCATGAGACCACACACAAAGCACAGTGGCAGCAATGTGACCAATCCTAAGAGACTCCCAGCCACAAACACCTGTGAAAAAAAGAGTCTGAAGCCCTCCACTGGGAGTCCCAACTCTGGGTGGCACTTGGGTTTTTCCCTGAAACCCCGACAGGCCAAAGACCACCCACTTTAAAGAGAGCATCCTAACCAACCAGAAAAAGATTCAAAACCACTGAAATACCCGTGCAGAAAAGAAAGGCTTATCAGGGAAACTGGCACTCCTTCACTGACCCATCATGACCCCTGCAGATTCCCAAGCAAGGATCAATCAGCTTTGGAAATACTAAGCCATAGTTTCTCTCCCCAAGTTTAGACACTGAACTGGGGGAGGGCATGCTGATCACTGTACAACCCAGAGAATTCATCCAGGCTCAGGATGAACTGTGGCAGAACTTCCAACTCATTCACTCAACTACTTAAGCAAATATGGTAGAAAACCGTTGTAAGCTCTCGTGTTTGGCTCACAATCTTGCAAGTTTCAGAATACCCAAATATCGCACCAGATCACCATTTTGAGGGAGGATGCAAATCCTAAGCAATCTGGAGAATATTAAGCATCAATGGAACACCTAAACCAAAGAAAGGGAAAGCTTAAACCCTCCACCCAATTTGGGTTCTAATCCGGGGGCAGCCTGGCTGACCACAGATTTTGGGAAGCCCCTGGGCCAACAAAGGCCTCCTCTGCAATCAGCGTGGGAACAGCGTGTCGGGGAGGTCAGCGTCTCCTCGCCATGTAAGGACAAAGGCGGCGACATTTCCCGCCTCGGGAACCTGGGACTGTCCTGGATCCCGGGACGGGACTGGGACAAAGACTAAGAAGGAATGAGGAGGGGGTCGCCCCTGCTGCGCCAGCCTGGACTCCACCGGCCAAGGGGGGTGTGTGCTCCCGGCACGTGCGCGCGTGCGCGCGTGGCGCCGCAACAGACAAAGCCGGGCCCGGGGGACTCGGCGGCCGGGGGCCCGGTGCGCGCGCACCCCCCGTGCGAGGCGCCGCCGCCGGCCGAGGGGCCGCGAAGGGGGGGGGGCGGATGCGCGCGCACCGGGCCCTCGCCGCCGCCGCCGCCATTTTGTTTCCTCGGCACAATGGGGGAGAGTAACGGCCGAGCGCGGGAGCGAGACTGGCGAGGGAGGAATGAGCCCAGCCCTGGGGCGAGAGAACCGGGCGTAGGAGGAGAGCGCGGGGCACCTCAGGCCTTGTCACCGCGACCCCTCAGCCGGGCCCGCGCTGAGTGGGAGGACTAGCGGGGGGAGGGGCAGAGGCGGGAGCGGGCCCGGCCGCCGCCACATTGACGCTTACCTTGTCGGCGTTCCCTTCCCCGACCGCAACCGCCGCCGCCGCCCTCCTGCCACAGCCCGCCGGGGTCTCCCCCCAAAAGCCACGCGGTGCGCACCGGGCTGCTGAGTCCAACTGCAATGGCGAGAAGAGGAGGAGGAGGAGCCGGGGCCGGGGGCGAGCGGGCGGGCGGGCGCGCGCCGGGGAGGTGCGGGCCACGTGATCGGCTGGAGCCCCGCCCCTTGCCGCCGCGTTGCCGCCTGACGCAGGCCTGGCCCGGGAGGGAGGGAGCGACGAAAAGAGATAAGGAGGTGGGCTTAGGTCACGTGGCAAGAGCGTAGCCGTTGCGTTGCTGGTCACGTGGATTCGAAACGTTTACCTCCCTTTTCGAGTCCTTGATCATGTGACAGTGGCCAATACAGAGTCTTGGCCACGTGACAAGGACTTTGGCGCTTCCCTTTGGTATTGGTGGGTCTGCGTCATGTGATGCGGTCGCCGCTCTTTTTTTTCAATGGCGGTTTTAAGCGGCATCACCACGTGGTTCAGGGCGAGGGGCGGAGTCTCCCCCTGCTGCGAGTTTATGCGCCTGCGCGGCCGCCATCTTACACCCGTCCCTCGCGTGTACGTTGGCGGAAACCTCTTTGAGAGATTGTCACAAGAGTATTTTGCCGGATCGTGGCCCGCGGGCTTCGACCTCCATCCGAGGCTACCTGGCGGAGCTTCCTCCCATCTCCCTGTATCCCTCGCTAGAGGCCTTGAAGGCCCGAGGTGCAGGTGTCCGGGACGGCCGGACAGATCCTGTTCCTGCCCCGGGACCGGCGCCGGTGAGCGCTGCAGTTCTTGGGGGGGTCCCGCAAGCCAAACCCCCAGTGTGGCGTGCGGCCGTCCTGCTGGGCCCGGGCCTCCGAAGGGCAGAGCCGAGGTGCTCGGGATCTTCCAGTCTCCCTTTGACAGGTGGAGAAACTGAGGCCCAGCTAGAGGATTCACAGACTGCTCGTGGGAGAGGCGGGTCTGCAAGTCAGACGCTCTGCCAGCCGCAGCTCGGGGTTCATAAGGCACCAGGGCGTCTACTGTTTTCAAGGCTAGTGTTGAATTCTCCCGCGCGCTTCGTGAGACCCCCGGTGTGCGGTGGGTACCTCAAGTAAGCCCGGCGCCGCTCCAGTGTCCGAATCAAGCCAGCGCTGGACAGGCGGTCCTAAGCGTGTTGTTCAGAAGCTGCTGGGATTCGGAGCAAGGAATCGTTGAAGAGGTTTCCTTCCTGAAAGTGAGAAGTTGCTCAGGAAGACTTAAGGCATAATATGGGGCCCGTGGGTGTCTCGATTGGATTTCGGCTCAGGTCGTGATATGGTTCGATATGGTTCGTGAGATCGAGCCTGCTTGGGGGGTGGGGGAGGTTCGCGTTCTCTGCCCCTCCCCCACCCGCGCGCTCTCAAAATCTATAAACTTTAAAAGAGAAGATTCAAGGCATAATAACGATTTTCCTAGCAAAAGTGTAGGGACGGTCCAGCTGCTTTGTTAAGGATGCAAGACCCATGGTCTGTTCTAGATCTGAGTCTCCTCTGTGACCAAAAACTGCACCTCTCTCTGAAGCCTCCGTTTCGCATCTACAAAGCAATGATTTTTTTTTAAAGCACTTGGCACATTTCTGTGTATCGAATAAATGCCTCAGTTATTTAAAACGTAAGGTGTAAAAAGGCTGCTGAAATGGGTGCACCCTATACCTACTGCCTTTCTGTTTACATTTTACTGAGGGTTTTGCACACATCACGTATTCGCCTGATAGGAGATACCAAATGTGCAAGCGTGTGAGGGACCGAATCCACCTGCCTCCCCTCTTTGGCAGCCATTGTGAAGTTTTCTGTTTTATTCACAGACTTAATTATGTGCTTTTTTTTTTTTTCTGTTTTTCACACAAACATTAAGCATCTTCTCCTACCCCCCGCCCCGGAGAGCTTTCCTGAATAGAGCTTGAAAGTGAAGAAAAGTTTGGTAAATTTAATAGCCCATGTATTCAGGTAAAATTGGTTAAAGTAAGTTTAGATTCTTTAAAGTCACCCTGGCAAGGAAGGTGTTCGCTGGCTGTAACAAGTTAGAGACCAGCAATTAGAACACCAGGGAGCTGGCTCCGCGGGTGCCACTTGGCTGAGCTAACAGCGCTACCAAGTGGCAAAGCAGGGAAGGTGTCTGGTTTTCTGATTCCATAGGTTTCTCAAGAACTTGCTTCTGAGGCTCTCAAGGCAGCCCCTGTAAAAGGGGCCCCAAACACAGAAAGGGGTAGGTAGGGCCATGGTGACAAGCAAAGGTTTGAGATCAAACTGTAATCTCCACAGAGGAGCCCAGGACAGGTTTGGAGAGTTCCTTCAATCTCAAGGGTTTGCTAAGGATGCATGGAGTGAGTGCCAGGGAACCTTCCTTCCAATCATTACCTGCTGGGACTGGAGCCTCGCACAACCTGGGTTTTGTAGGAAGAGATGCTGGGCTGTAGCTGAAGTGTCCAGGAAACCGGACTCCCTTAACAAGTGCGTTCTGGGGGCGCCGGGGTGCCTCAGTCAGTTAAGTGTCTCACTTCGGCTCAGGTCATGATCTCACGGTTTGTAGGTTCGAGCCCCGCGTCGGGCTATGTGCTGACAGCTAGCTCAGAGCCTGGAGCCTGTTTCAGATTCTGTGTCTCCCTCTGTCTCTGACCCTCCCCTGCTCAAGCTCTCTCTCTCTCTCTCTCTCCGAAATAAATAAAACATTTAATATTTTTTTTAAAAAATGCATTCTGTCGGGGCCACCCACTGGTGGCTGCGGGATAAGAGGTTTTCAGCCCCATCTTTTTAAATTTTTTAATGTTTATCCATTTTTTTTAAATTTTTTAATGTTTTATTTATTTCTAGGAGAGAAAGAGAGACAGCGTGAGCAGGGGAGGGTCAGAGAGAGAGGGAGTCACAGACTGAAACAGGCTCCAGGCTCCGAGCTGGCAGTCAGCACAGGGCCCGACGCGGGGCTCGAACCCACGAACCGCGAGATCATGACCTAAGCGAAAGTCGGGCGCTTAACCGACTAAGCCACCCAGGCGCCCCAATGTTTATCCATTTTTTGAGAGAGGTAGAGTGTGAGTGGTGGAGGAGTGGAAAAAGAGAGGGAGACACAGAATCCAAAGCGGGCTGTAGGCTCGGAGCTGTCAGCACAGAGCCCAATGCTGCGCTTGAACTCATGAACCACGAGATCATGACCTGAGCCATGACCTGACCCGAAGTCCGATGCTTAACCGACTGAAAGACCCAGGCACCTCTCAGCCCAATCTTCTGATGAGCTACATCCATCCTGCCCCTTGTCTGTTCGCTCCTGGGTCACCATGCAAGATTGAGGCCCCAAGGTGCCACCTGCCCTCTCTTGTGCATCTCCACCCTCACCCAGATTTCCACTACCGCGCTGGCCTTTCCGCTGCTACCTGCTCCACCACCCCAGTAGGCACCGTCTCTCACCTCCCTGCCCTAGCCGACACGCCCTGTCATCTGGCCGTGCACACCTGTTCTCATCACAGCCTCTCCCTCAATGGCTGAAGAGAAGGTCTGTCCCCTCCCCTTGCATTCCCTCTGTCCAGATGGGTTCTGTCCTCATTAGGGACTCCAGTAATCCCACGAACATGGCCTCCACTCTGCCTTCCTCACCATCAGAGATTTCTCCCACTCCAGCCTCCGACCCCCGTCACACAGGAACTTTTCCTTCTGAAACCTTTTGCACCCGTGCCCACTGCCTTCCTCCCCACTCCAGTGGAGTGGACATCGGTTGACCACAGTGCTTCGGGGAACTTCCCCTCTCCCTTGCCCAGTCTAGTTCGGCTGATGAGTCCCTGCTGGCGTATTCTGAAACTAAGCCCATGGCTTGACTGCATTGATTGGCTTAGGAGTGAGCGTCCAAAATGCAGCTAGTCAGAGCCAATGAGCACCAGGCCGGGGACTCTGGGGGCAGGAGAAGCCCTGGTTTCTCTAAACTTGAAGCCAGGGAACTACGAGGTGTGGCTGGGGGGCAGGGAGTGTACCTTGATGAAAGAGAATGAAATTAGCAAGGAAGAAAGCTCAGTTAAAAGATAGAGCAAGAAAACAACATGTTTTCCCAGAATTGAATAGAATGAACACCTCTAGCACTTCCACTTCCGAGCATATGCCCGCAAGAAATGAAATCAGGGACTCCAGATACTTCTACACCCTTGTTCACAGCAGTGTGACTCACAACAGGCAAAAGGTGGAATTAATCTAGTGTCTGTTGATGGATGAACACATAAACAAATTGTGATTTACACAGACAATGGAATGTGAAATATTAGTCAGCCTTAAAAGAGAAGGAGGGGCGCCCGGGGCGCTCAGTCAGCAAAGCATCTAACCTCAGCTCATGTCATGATCTTGCAGTTTATGAGTTCAAGCCCTGCATTGGACTCTGTGCTGACAGCTCAGAGCCTGGAGCCTGCTTCGGATTCTGTGTCCCTCTCTCCCTCTCTGCCCTTCCCACGCTTCTACTCTGTCTCTCTCTCAAAAATAAATGAACATTTAAAAAAATTTTTTTTAAATTCTGACCTCCACAACGTGGATGAACCTGGAGAATGATAAGTGAAGTCAGCGAGACCCCAACAGCTGAATCCGTATGACTCCATTCATATGCAGCGTGTTGAAGAGTTAGATCCATAGGAGCAGAAAGTACAATGATGGGTGCCTGCAGGAGGGGGAGTTTGTGTTTAATGTGGACAGAGTTTTCGTTTGGGAAGAAGAAAAATTTCTGGGCACGGAGGTAGTGATGGTTACACAAAACTGTGAATGTACTTAATGTCCCTGAGCTGTATGCTTAAAAACGGTTTGAGTGGTGATTTTTATGCGTATTTTACGGCCATATTTTAAAGATTTTTTTTATGTTTTTTTAATTTTTTTTGAAAGAGAGATAGAGACAGCATGAGCAGGGGAGGGTCAGAGAGAGAGGGAGACACAGAATCTGAAGCAGGTTCCAGGCTCTGAGCTGGCTGTTAGCACAGAGCCTGACGCAGGGCTCGAACCCATAAGCCGCGAGATCATGACCTGAGCCGAAGTCGGATGCCCAACCGACTGAGCCACCCAGGCGCCCCTAAAGATTTTATTTTTCTGTTTTGGCTCCCTGCCCAACGTGGCTTGAACTCACGACGCTGAGATCAAGAGTTGCATGCTCTATGGTCTGAGCCAGCAAGGCACCCTGGCAATACTGAAAAAGATGGAGTGAAAGCGGAGCCAAGTCACGGCCACGTCAGTGCAGGATGCTGAGACTTGGCGAGAAGCACTGGCATGGTCACACAGGGACGCTGTCATAATGGGCCAGTGGATGTAGGACCCCAGCCACCTGGAGTTGATCATCTCCACCCACTAGGACCGGCTTGGCCATCCTGAAGTTCCTGCTGCTCTAGTTCTTGCTCTCGCTGTGGGCTCACAGAGCAGCCGGCCGCCTGTGGCTCTGGCCTGCTGGGTCTTCACTCCCCCTCTGTTCTTCTGAGAACCAAGAGTTCCCGTAGGGAAGCACCTCTCTG